TCATGTCAAATCTTGCATGTTGCTTCATTTTATTTCCTTCATTTGTAAATGCATTCTTGTGTTCAATTAACCATGGTTCAGTCTTTTGCATGATTGTTAGCCCCTCCCATTTCCGCATTTCCCATTAGTTAACATCCTAGTTAGTCGTTTCATTTTTTCCTGGAGATAATTCTGTCATGCTTTCTTGTATTCTTGCCTGAAAAGTACGATGGGCCAGTCACACCAATGCAGAACAGGATTTGTCAATAATAATAATAAATATACTAATTATTCAGGATCAAAAAATAAATAAATTAACAGAAAATAACAAGAAATGCCGGGCTGCAGGATATACTCTTGGAGTACATCCTATCTAGGTAACGGATGCTCCTGGGATCAGTCCTGTCGGAAATGCGCTGTGCCGTCTACATCCGTATTTCGAATTCGCCATAGGGTTATTATTATTTTTTAATTAAATGCATATTTTCTTCAACGAAATCAGAAAATTTTCTCGAATCAACTTTAAAATTGATGTGACGTTTAAAGGTCATAACCGCGATAAAATTTTCTCAAGAACAGTATTTACGAGAGTAGAGGCAGCGCTTTGATTTTGAGTATAAATTTAGATTTCCAAATTTTAAGCCCGCAAGCATGTGTTACTGCTTCGCGGAAATGCGTTGTAAACACTCACAAGATAAAAAAAGTGCCCCCATAAAAGGAAAACAGAGAATAAAATAATCTATCCACGATTTACAACCTACACAATCACTGGACCACACATTTTCAATGCAAAAAAGTCCAAGTCGAAAAGCCTAATTTTGAATGTTTTCTCTCTTTTCAGTACAGGCCACATAGGTGAGACTGCGCCGCGGTCGAAGCTCGAAACATTTGAAGTTCAAATCCCAATCTCGTTTCTTTTTGTGGGAAAGTTCAGCACAGCCAAACAATACAGGGATTTAGGTGTGTTGAAAACTGAGCTTTGAAAAGCGCTTTGTAATTCGGCATTGAAAATGAACCGAAATTGGATACCCTCAACTGCACGAATATGCGGGACGAAGTAATCGACGAGAGGCACCGTGGGAGTGACCCATGAGACCTTTTTTCCTCCTTTTTTTTTTTCTTCAGAAAAACAGAATATGCGGTAAGTTGGATATTGGAAGGAAAACGCGGTAACATCAAGGAGGGACTCGTAATCATTTCAAGAGCACTCACGTGACGGCCTGTTGAAAGTACTTGAGCGCTTCGGGGTAGTCGCCCAGTGTTTCGTACGCGTGTCCGACGTTGTTGTACAACTTGGCATTCCGCTTGTTCACCTTCAGTCCCGACATGAATATCGAGTACTCCGACTCCCAGTCCAAGTTCCGCTGATACGTCTTCGACCCGTGGACGAGGAGGAGGAACGCCAGGACCAGCCAGGCAATTTTCTTGCTCGTTCGCCTGGAAAATAGGGGGAACGGAGTTCATGATCGACACAGCGTTGGGTTGCCGGAAGGGGGGAGGAGACAAGGAGGAACCCGACCCGACACGACCCGCCAAGACACACAACTTCTCCGCTTTGCCACCGCGGGCGCGATGCTCGTTTGGCCGAGAACAGAATTCAATTCAATCCTGAGTCTCTTCCCCTTCGTGCGCCGGAGAAAAATTATGACGGGTACATTCAGTCTACATATTTTCTCGCGAGAGGGGTAAGAAGAAGTATGTCATCGGAGCTCGATGCGAGGCTACTTTATTCTCTATTTCTCCTCACGGAACCCGAAATACGAGGGATGGTTCAGAAGTTGTGTCTGTACCTTGTACCGACGTCGGAATTTTTCAAACTATTCCACAGCGGAATCAATAGACTCTCGTTAATCGTAATCCATCGGAATTTGCTGAAAAAATCACTACATCTGTATTTCCGCTAATAATTGTGCTTTATTGCCATCTAAATGAGAACATTTGTTTCGCATCAGAGTCTTACATGCTCAAGACAATCTCCACATTACAAATTCCTAGCACACAATTTGCCGACATCCGAAAAATGTTTTTCGAGAAGCATGGTCGTTAGATCTGAAAAAATGGTCGCTAATGAGATCAATCAATTACTGTATGTTAAAGATTTAGTGGCACAGCATAACGAAATCAAATTATTTGTTTGGAAAAGTGACAGGTGAGTAGAACACCGGCCAAGAGAGGATCAAAACTTTTGACGATATTTCCTCACTCAACCAGACTTTAAGAGAGATGCAAGGAACAGAGAAAACTTATGAACCGTCCCTCGCAACTTTTTCCACCAATCTTCTCGGTGTTTTGTGGTGTTTTGCTTAATCGATGATCGATGACCAACGCATTTAAATATGCATGACGGCTAATGCCAGGGTCATAATCGCTGGAAAAAAAACGCGTGGAGTCGAAGCATTAGTCGCGAAGCCGTATTTCACACAAACAGCTGGTCAAACGTGTCGAAAAATGCCTGAAAATATCGCAGTTTTTCTTGACTCGATATTATATTTCCGCAAAAAGGAAAAAATGACGACCGGCACAGCTGTCACCATTTTTCATGCAAATCAATCGCGAGAGATGGATTTTTATATAACTGAAGAGACAAACGAATCAATGATCTAAAGTTAATACATTTCACGGAGCATTGTCGATTATTGAAGAACAGCATTCTGGCTCCGCCGAAAGTCGCGCTTGTTTCTCTAATACAGTACAGTAATTTATTTCGGATCTGCTATCAAATATTCAGACGTCCACCCTAGTTGCCACGTGTGTACACGCAAGCTAACGCACGATGCAAACGTTTTTCCATTCTATGTTTACCTTTTTCCCATTCGATTCCCTTGAGAAATTTGAAATGATTCCATCGAATAATTTCTTCTAATAAATGAATAATTTTTCTGAATGCATGCAGCTTTCGGATATCCGCGCGCAAACAAACAAAAAAAGAAATTACGCGACGGAAAGTTAAAAAAGCTGACGACTCAAGTTTGAAAAAAAAAATCAGAGTCTATCATTCAACCTTATCGTAAATTTTCACAAGAAATTCACATTTCACTTTTGATTTGAAACCCGTCGCCCAACGGATATCAAGTGGCTATCACCACGTGGAAAATCAGATCAGAAAAAGAGGGAAGCATGGTTTACCCTTAAAGACTTTCATTACAAAAATCGTGAACTTTTCAGAGTGCTGCCACAATGAAAAAAGAAATACATAAGAAGAAGAAGATCAAACTCACGTTTGCTTCCACAATTCTGTCCATCCGTAGGCGACCAGCATGCAGAAGCCCATGCTTGGCATGTAGAGGATCCTCTCGGCAACGACGAACCCCACGGGAAAGAATAGATTCGAGGCTGGTAGGAATGGTAGAACCATCAACGCCACACTCTGTCAACGACATTACCAAAGAAGTCATTAATACAACGTGAAGTGCTCCGCCACTCTTTCATCCTCCAATAAGCACGCTAAAATCAGAACGTCCGGGAAGCCCCTCAGAATGGCACCCACAGCACTCGAGACAAATGAAAGAAAACGAACCCCCCCCCCCTTTTCCCGTGGTGTTGAGGAGGACGAAGTTCTCATTGCTCTGACTTCAACCTCTGATTTAAATTCAATTTATTCAAGACTTCGATGGTCAAATCAGTCTCAATTCAGATGAGCATCGTTGCTCACCCGTACGCGATAGATTCCAGAGAAATTGGTTGACGGAGTTGTGATTGGAATAATGCATTGAATTCTTTCAAATGTAACCCTTATTTACGCATTCGCTCTGTTTCAGAAAAAGAAGCTATCAAATAATACAAGTTGTATTTCAAAAAAGTGCGTGCTTTAAATTAAGAACTGCGTTTCGCACTCATTGTGACCGAGATGCAATTGGAATAATGCGCTGGATCCTTCAAACTTCAACAACTTGGCTGTTCGCAGTGTTGTAGAAAGATAAACTACCGTATTACTGTATTTCGAAAACATTGTCAAATGCAAAAAGAGCATGCTTTCCAATTACAATGGAGTTTCCCGCTCTGCGCACTGAATCGCTTGGAACAAGCGCTACTCAGAATTGATCAGTTGGAACATTTCGAAACGCTTTTTCAATGCACGATAAAGTATTCAAAAATAAATGTAACTTTGAATTCACATTCGGTTTATAGATTTCAACGTTTCATGAAAAATTCGAAGCATTACCTCGACCTATGCAACCATATAACTCGGCACGAAAAATCGTCGCATTTCGTGGGAACAGACTCCAGAGAAAACTGCGTGGGCCACGAAAAAAATGTACAGCACTGTATACAATTTTTGAGGATTTGTTGAATTCTGAAATAGTGGAAGCTCTAAATTTATTTGCGTTTAGCGCGAGTATAATCGCCTTCTGGACATAATAGGCCGTCCCCCGAATTTCTAGACGAAAT